GACGCATACGCGCCGCGTCAAATATGCTCTGTCATCCTTTAAACCTTTAGAAGACTTCACGATTTTTAACCTTCGCATATGCATATAGTTAAGAACAGCACAAGTAACTCTAATTATAACAGCTGAATCATATAGGCTGCTTCAAAATTGGACTGACAAACTTTGGGTGCTTATAAAAGACACCAAAACAAGTAATGTTTGTCAATAAACCTGCGAGTATATCCGCAAATGAATTTTTGTTGCTATCTCTCGATAAAAAAGCGTTAATGAAAATTGACTTGTCAGACTGAAAATACTAACCCGGAAGCCAGATCAAGTATTTCTCTACACCGCGGAAGCCTAAAATATCACGTTAATTAGTTGTTCAAACAAACGATGTATCAAAGCGGTATATTTGTCACAGAGCGATAGTTTGACCTTAATGTTCAGGAATAAACGTCTGCTGTGCACAGTTAGCTTTATATATGCTGTATCATTCCTTCGATTGAAAATTACACAATTTTCAAATATATATATGTACACATAAGGACACAACCGTTATAATTAGAGCTGTTATAAGCTCTATCATTATAATTAGAATCACTTATGCGATTTCCAATCTTACCGGTTATACACAAGATTGAAAATCGTATAATTTTCTGTTTAGGGAATGATACAGCATACATAACGTCGACTGTATCTCAGTTTACCGTTTCGTGCTTGTTTCGCTCGAGTTAGACGACGTCGAGCTTTATCTTGACACGCAAAGATATCGTAGAAACTGTAATTAAGATAGCGATAATTTAAAATTTTAAATTTACGCACAGCACTTATTTACTTGTCTAATATAGAATTGTCTCTCTCTCTCTCTCTCTCTGCGGATCTGCTTGTACATTGTATATTTGCGAGAAAAGCAGTCGTTTCATCCGCATTCTACCTTGATTTTTCTCCAGTCTCGCTCCTAACGTCGTACAGCCGTCTATACGCTTAAAGATAGCGGTGCACCATTTACCAAGGCGAGGTCGGGGGTCGCCTTATAAATTAAGCTTTTATTGCAGCCGGCTTCGTCGCCGCTGCAGACGAAAAGTCTTTCATTCGTCCGATAGTTCCCCGCTCGGTTCTCCGTCTGCGATCGAACGTAAGCGGCTGCGGGCAGACGGGGAAAGCCGAAGCGGGTTAGGACAGGAAGAAGATCGACGAGGGGCCTCGGTGAAGGTACGAGAGGAGGGAGGGGGACAGAAAGATAGAGATAGGACGGGGTGGAGAAAGAGCGAAACATCTTATCCGTTCCCCTCGCGATTTTTGCTAATTAACCTCGCCGCAGGCACCGGCGCATTTTTGTTGCACAAGAGGAGATTAGCTCGTTGCTCCCGAAAGGTACCGGCGAAACGCTCCTCGCCGGTGTTCGAAGATAACGTTCCTCCTTCTCGTACGCCGATCCTTCGCACCAGATTGTCATCAGTTATCTTATTAATATATGACGAATCATAAGCGATAAAAAAGAATATATATATATGTTTATTATTATTATATGTAATTAATATAATATATTAGATATTTAAAAAAATATATATATATGTAATATATTTATTTATATTTATATATGTATACATTTTCTTACGTTTCTCGCACTTTGTCGTGGTTTCGTCGGTACATCCGGCGCGACGCGTTCTACGGGACTCGCCGGCTCTCCGCAGGATAAAATTCCGTATCCTCGAACGTCTCTCTTTCTCTCGTCGGGATTGCCGGGTGAAAAGTACACCCCTGATTTATGTACTCTCTCGCTGGCTGGAATCGCACGCTGCGCGCTTTAACGATACGGATTTATCGTTCCCGTTAGTATCGGGCATAGACGGTAGTCGGGTCAATTCTCCTCGTTTTTTCTTCCCGCCGTTAAAGAGGAGACAAAGTATTCTCGCGAAACGCGCGTACAACGCACACACACACGCACACACTTGCGCGCGGCGCAAAGAAATTAACAGCGTATCTACAAGCAGTTTATTTACAGTGCCTGCTGTATTGCGTATACCGATAATTACCGAACACCGCGATACGCATTGTCCGGGGGAGGAAAGAGCGAGGTGATTAATAACGCGCGATACGGCGACGCGATAAAGAGGCTCTTACGTAGTAGATGAATACGACGGAAGTGTTTTACATTCGGATCGGGAGTGCACATTCCATCGGCGCGGTTTGTCTCCCCGTATAATTAGTCGGACAGGTAAATCGTTTCCGAGAACACACCACGCGCTTCACAGGCTCTCTCGTCTCACTCTCTCTCTCTCTCTCTCTTTCCCTCTGGTCTTGTTTCTCTTAATAAAAGCGACTTTATACCGCTCTGCGGAAAGAAAAAGGGAAAAAGAGAAGGAATGAATTACACACACACACACACACATATACACACATGCACACCGATCGCAGGGTATCCACTGCAACGTGAACGGACATTGCAACGTCGAATCTCGTGCCAGCGCTGCGACTTTTCGTCTTGAATCTCGCTAATTTCACTTCCATTTTACGACTCGATGTATCATCAGTCACGGTCGCAACGCTTCTCTCTCGATGAGTTTCTCAACGTATCTCATGTATCCAATAGGAAAGTGTATCTTCTAAAGATTAGTAAGAAAAAAATTCTCTCATTAGACACGAAATGCGTCCCGATACTTATAAAAAAGCGTTGCGACCTTCTTGCGACTGTAAAGATTTTTCTATTGCTTGAGGATATTATTGTCTCAGAAACTAAACGAATTATTTATCAAATCGGAGATTCGTTTGCTCTATTCCACAAGACAAATTTGTCCCGATCAAAGAAACAGTGTTAAATCCGAAGAAATCTCTTTCTCCGTGCACAATGCGGGTGGATTCAGCTGCGTTAGAGATTCCAGAGCTCGCGTTGTCGTCACGCTACGGCTGATGATCCCTCCCTCGCTGCCAGCCCCTTCCGCGAGTATTTTCTTCCGATTAGAGGCCCCGCGCGTCAGGTGTGCCGGACCGATGCGGTTTCTAGTCGCATCGGGATTTAATGACCGGTATAATTGACGTCACGGTGCACGCACGGGTGTCTAAGTGGTCGGAACCGACGCATCGGGGGGCTTTATCGGGAACGGGAAGGCGAGGAGGAGGAGGACGAGAGAGGTGAAGGCAGGCGGATTTTTCGACGGGAGTTTCTCCCGCGGTTCAAAGGTCCGATTGATAATGCACGCTTCGCTCGATCGCTTGCGAGGTCGCTCGGCCGACATCACACTCGCCGGATAACAATGCGTTTGTATTTACGTTGAAAATGGGCGCGTGTCTCGCCTCGGACGTTACTCGCGCTATCATCCCCTCGCACGCTTCTTTTTGCGCGAAAAGAAGAAGACTCGTGATGCAGGCCGGAGCTGGATGACGATCGACAATGTATTCTTCCTTCGTATGAAGCTGCCCGCACAATGTTTATGATAAAAGTGTATCTCGCCTCGCGCCGCGCTCTCCGCGCTGTAATTAATCATCCGCTTGGGAGGCGCGAGTCGTAACACGTCGCTGTCTGAGTGACCGATTTATCAAGTGCGATCTGCGGAAATGCGGCACGATTCATCTCGCATTGTCGTTTATAATTCCATTCGCGTCGAATATCTCTCAGATCGCAAGGAGCGAACATATCTGTAATTTTATTTTGATCGGAAGTAAGCGGGAGACTGCGTTTTGATCGTTCTTATTAAGATCTCGACGCGATTCTCCGATGCGTTCGCGACGGGATTTATATTTCGATTGAATACGCATGTGTGAATGTGATGTATCTTTGGATGGGAGGAGACGCACGTGGTGTGTGTCGAAAGCAGTTGCAACGTTATCGATGGAAGGTATGATGTACGATGGCGATTTTGAGTTTGCCGGCTTACAGTAACAAGTTTTACGAAGGAAAGAATTACCTCCTTAACGCAATCGGTAATGCAATTCTCTGGCATTTTAGTCGCACTCATGAAATGTTTCTTCTTCTTGTTTCGTACCTTCTCAATCGATAATATCGTACATGAATATGTAATGTTATTATTATTTTATTCATTATATTAATGGGAAGTATCTCTTTCGTATAATTGTTATAAATAAGTTGTAAAAAAAGAGAATAAAAGTACAATACTACAAATAGAATTAAAATGAAAATCCATAAAAAATTGTGTACGAATTATATCATGACGTTTAATTGAATTCGGAATTTTTGCAAAAATTTGGGAGATTAAGTGGATGGCAAAGAGCATAAATAAATTTTATCAAATAATCGTATATATATTATTAAGACTGTCATGTGACGAATTTCGATTTCACACCCACACACACACACACACACACACACACACACACACACACATATATAACATCACCTTTCTCGAGTATGATATGAACACAAACAGCGTCGTATCGAATGTACTCGCTGATTATACCTTCACTTGATCTAACATCATTACGATACACGGGAGATGGTTGGAGATTTGTCGTATAATGCATACGTATCAGTGTTACATACATTTCGCGATGAGACCTAATTGCGTGTGTGTAAATTGTGCTCAGAAAATGAAATAGCAGCAAGTTTCGCTCGAATTAAAATCAAGAATAAATATATTGCATTTATTAGTGTTAGCGAATGCACTCAACTGTCAGAGTGTACCGCTCCGGCTGGATCTGCCCAACGCAGGGCACGGAATGCAGTGAAGGATCGGTGTAGGGAAAATAGTTAGGAATCGATTGCAGTTGAGGCAGTGGTTTATTCGGTCACTGAGACGAGGCGAAGTGGCGATCTGGCCCTTACAGTTCACGCCGTGAGGAGACGTCCTCCGGCTTGTCGAACAAACGTGTTCAAAAGTCGCTCGATCGGCCTTCCTGGGCGCTCGCCAGTGCCGAATTCTTCGCAACGTTTGACGATTCGAACAGTCGTCTTCTTCTTATTGTCCGCCACGCGCAACCACCATTGTAGGACGCAACACGATTTAATTCGACGATCACGACGTTCAAAATGACAAATATAATTTAAATTGGTGACCGGAAGATCACTCGCGAGGTAGTCGCGAGGACGTGAATGACATAGCGCAACGCGATGATTCGAGATAGTGAGTCTTGATTTCTCGCACGGAGAGTAGTTGAGACCGTAGCGAGCCGAGAAAAGCGAACAATTAGGATCGACTAAATTGTTCTAACTTCTTCGTGCTCACTTCTGACTTTTTACTTCCGATTCTGACTTCTGACTTCTAATTCCTCGCTCCGAAGGCACCCAGTTTTATACGGTTATTTGTGTCAAGCGGAACGAGCTGATTGGTTATCCTTCGATCGGATGAAGCATTAGACAACGTCCAAATATGGTAATGTTTGTGATCTAAATCGACGAATCTTCTAATCTTGTTATTTAGATTCTTATTATTAGGTTTTTCTTATAGTAGACACAACGTGTCGAGTATTTATCCGTTTTTGTATCTCAAGTCTCCTTTTATCGTCGGTTGTATAACTCATGTTATTGTGTCGAGAAAGCAACTCGATTTCCGCATCATGCTCGCTTCACATGTTATGAGCTTGATAAATTTAACTCTTTCGGTTTACCTAACGAAAGTTCGAATTTTGAACAGTTAGTCATATTTATATTTCGTACTTATTTGATGGCGAAAAGAAGGAAAGTTAAATTTCTCTTGGACACAAAGGAAGATAAGGCACATTCTATTAGCGCTGGTATATTTTCTTTTATTTTTTCGTAAAATATTAATTAAAAATGAATGCTTACGTATTAAAATCTTCGAGAAATTATTTTCTGCATTAATATAAAAATTCGTGATCTGTGCGAGGACGTGGGAACATTTTCATCGACGTGATTTTTCATCTTCCAGAGCTGGCTGGTCAAGGGAAGAGACAAAAACTGCTGGACCAGATCGCTATGCTGAGAACGTACGTCTCCGTGTTGGAGAACAAGCTGAAAACTCCAAAATTCGGCCAATTGCATTTGGTAAGGAAAGCACCGCTGTCGTTGCACAGCGAAGCCGCAACATACCGTGATGTGGACTTGCCGGACGTGCGGACGGAATTATGTTGCGATTTTTACCGGTTCGCGGGGATACGGTACACCAGATGCGATAGTACTTTCGTCTTCGAAATGTCCGGCACGGACAAAGTCACGAGGAGCGGTCTGTATGCGGTGGAGATTCTGACAGACAATAACGGCTGCGGAAAGTTGGGAAGGTGGGCGCTACCTATGTCCGTCGACGTGCAGAAGATCCTATTGCAACATCCGATCGACGATCTGAATAACATGAGGCAGTTCGTCAAGAGCACCAAACATCACGTGGACTGTTATGTCTGTCGCGCGAAGCAGCTGGAGGAGCTGCAGGTGATTCGAGCGGAATCGCGAAATTCGAGATTAAACGTTCGCAAAATTACTCGATTACTTCGTTTATTTGTTTCTCACATATCTTCGTTAGATAGATAACAAGGTATTCCCTTTGTCTTGATTTTCAGAGCTCTCTCGCCGAGATCGAGAACGCTCGCGTGTCTCACATCATCGGAGTCGTTCAAGTGGAATTGGTAATGTCAGGAGTGAAAGACAGCAAGAGCGACGCGGTTCGTAACGTTACATTAGACTTGTGCTACAAGCCGGCCGAAGTGAGGCCCTACAAGCTACTCCCGGATGTGGACGATAACGAGAAGCCGTCGGCGGACCTGCTCAACAGATTGTATAAACACTTCGAGCCTTTCTTAAAGAACGACCTGAGTTCCGCGTTCCAGCGAGTCAATGAATCGGAAACAGAATTTTGTTGGAAACCGATCGCGGCGAACGGTAGCGAAGGTACCTCGGAGTTCTCCGACGAGTCACTTGAAAACTCAGGATTCTTGTCCGCTTATCTTTACCGAGGCAAGAAAAAACGGAAGAAGGGTAAAGATGATGAGCAAGGTGAGTGGAGTTCCTTGTGTAATAATGAGCTAGAAATCTCGCTTCGCGTCGAAGTTGAAAAGCGCATCGACGTTACTATTATCCTGAATCCGCGTGTTCTCGACATCCGTTTGACGTCTCTTCGATCTTGCATCTTCGATCTCGCAGACTCCAGATGATAATAAAATGTTTGATCAAAAGGTGGTGTTAATCACGGTAATAAAAAAAATTCGGCGAGGAACGCAGGCAGCAAACGCCGCGAAAGGACGCGCAATCGGAAACTGCTGAAAAAAACCAACGGTCCAGACTGCGAGGACACGAAGAGTCCTCGGAGAGAATACAAGCAAAAAAAAGTAATAACCTGGTTCGACAAAGCAGACAAGGAGGACCGTGCGGTTTCAAATATAAATGAACAGAATCGACAAGCGCGAATGAACCTAAGCTGCAGCACACCTCTTTCGAAGGAGTTACCCGACAAACGGAAGTTCTTTCAAATTAATAATATTAGCGGGATTTTAAAACAAAATTAGAAATAGCAATAATTAATTTAATTAATGCATAGTTTAAAAAAACCCCCGCTGTTTTCAATTTTCCCTTGGAAAGAAACTGAAAATATCCCTGGAAAAATTAAAAAATTCGATTTTTCCATTCATCTGTGGGAAAATTTTTGAAAACCGGATCTTTTCTGAGCCTTTAAAACCATAGATTATATAATAATATAATAGAATATAATAATAAAGAACTTCACTTGAGTGTAAAGAGAAATTATGAGAGATGCGGCTCGATGTATTTGTAATTGTTGAAATTTTTTAAGGGAACATGTGTCCTAAAATATAAGATTTGTATACGCGTTAATATGTAACGAGGGAATAATTTATTTGCAAAGAGATCATAAGACATTTTTATTTACGTTTTCCGCATAATACGCGCGATCCACAAACGTAGACGTTTGTAAAACGTTAACATCTCGAGTTCTTCTTGTTTTGACATAAAATTTAATAATATCTCATCCATAGATGGCTGATTGATCGAAAAATCTGTTATCCACACGTATCGCTGTCTCAACTTCTCCAGTTTGTCGAACACATGACTGTACGAAACGTCACTATCGAGTTCATATTTAAGAACACCCTGTAAAGATTAGAACAAAAGTAAATTTTTATTAATAGATTCATAAAATAGATTTGCTTTTCTTATAATTGTATTATAATTTAAAGAAACGCTATTTTGAATTTTTCCTCGGAAAAAAGTCGTTTGTATTTAAAGCGTTTCTTTTTAATGTTATATATTATAGCATTTGTGTGTATAATGAAATATAAATATTTATATCCGTAAGAAAGCTTGTTGAAATTAAATCCTTTTTACCAAGTAGCTGTCCTTGAACTTTATTGCTGGAAATGTCTCGTCGATGATTTTCTTCATCTTCTCCAAGTTCCCGAGCTGAAAGCCTGGCACTACTTTGATAGTCATTATAAAATTACGGCCATGTTTCGCCTTTAGATTCTCGCAAGTTCCAATCGCGGTAAACTGGCCGTTCGCCAAGATCCCAACGCGTAGGCACATTGCTTCCGCTTCTCTCATACTAAAACTCATAAAAGAGATCTTTGGAAAACCGATTCTAATACATAGTTTCACTATCGAGCTTGTTAAGCTAACCTGTGTGTAGTGACCAGTACAGTTCTCCCCTCCTCCCGTATTTGTTGCAAGATTTCGCAAAGGGCGTGTCTGGTCATTATGTCGATTCCAGCGGAGGGTTCGTCCATTAATATCATTGGCAATTCGCCAACCAGACTTTGCAAAATACAAATTTTCCTTCGAATTCCCCATGGACAGCTCGCGATTATTAAATTCTCGAAGCTCATCATATCTGCCGCAATTTAAATGCCGCACAAATATTTAATTAATTAAGAGAACGCAATAATACGGTATGTCATCCTGAATTATTTCGAGAGTGAAGAAAAAACTCGGAAAATTCTCAATCCGCTTCCGATTCACATCACCTAAGATATCCAGCCACTTGTCCACTTCGTTGTTGATGTGCTCGTATGGAACACCGCGCAGTGCAGCGTGAAGTTGCAAATACTGCCTTCCCGTCATGAAGTCACTTAGCCCGTCGGTTTGTGGACAATAGCCTATCATACCTATAAACTTGAAAGTGTTTTGTCGCGTAAGAAGTTTCGGATATTCACGGTATCAACAGCTACAGCTAGTGTGATTGTGGAGTATGAAACGTGATACGTATTTCCGTGAGAAAATAAGTTTAAGTGAAAGTTAAATGTTTCTCCTTAGAAACTAAAAGAAAATATACATGGAATATGTTGGTGAGATGATACTAATAATAATTTGGCCATGATCTTTTTAAGGACAATTTAATAGGGAAAATGGCATTAAATCATTGTTTGGAATATTAAAATGAGTCTATAAAGTATAATGTTATATCTCGAGATTCTTCAATGGGATTTCTCAAGTTCGACGGAATTTGTAGGGTTAAGGTGGAGCCTGAATCTCGACTCTTGTATGACTCACCTTCTCGCGGTTTCTCGTCAATTCGTAACCGTACAACACCACCTTCCCGGCCGACATTTTTGTCTGATCCGTCAGTATCCTGTATACCGTCGACTTACCGACTCCGTTAAATCCCAACAAGCCGAAACACTCTTGATCATGGATCTGAATAAAGAAATGTTTCTGTATATACGATCAAAGTTTCTGCCTAATTTAGGCGATTATGCTTACACTGAAATTGATTCCTCGAATTACCGCTTTTCCGGAGTAGTCTTTCCTTAAGTTTTGGACAACGAGCGCGACTCGCGGCGGGAGTGAATTTGTTTCGTCGAAATCTAAACCGGAGAGAAAGAGAAACACGAAGTAAAATGCTTTTATCGAAAACACACTAGTACATATCGAATCATATTTGTCCTCCTATCAGATTTTACGTCGCATATATTCCTCAATGCGTCTCTTTTCCTCCACGACGTCCGGCTCTACGATGTCATCGTCATTCGTAGGAGGCGCTGAGTAACTGCTCCATTTTCTGCGATTCTTTTGTTCGAATATTTCCAATATTAAGTGAAAAGTCAGCATTTGGGATATCATCAAAAATATATCGTCCACCACCGAGTGATGATACTCCGCACCGGATTGTTTGATAAGCATTACGTTCAGCTGCTTGTAACAACGCTCGTCTTTGCAGTTCTCTAAAATGTCAGATAATCGTCTCGTTGAAATCATTTACCACGCGACTCGCTCATCGGGACGAAGATTGTCTTCGCGATTGAACTCACGACAGCAGGGATCCTCGATGTTAAATTCCGTGTCGCAAGTATTGAAATAACTGCACTGCCTGTTGTACAGATTCAGCATAATATAATTGCTCAAGGCACAGGCCAACACGTACGGCGGAAACATGTGCACGAGCGCTTCGAACATGTATCTTCCGCTACTGCTGAATACGCGAAACACTAGCGGGAACACGATGGATCCGTTCACTAATAACACTGCGAAGCGTATTATATATTTTAATCAAGATACCGCAGCGCATATGATTAACCCGTCTGCACCGGAAGTGGATATATCCATCCATTTCGTCTGAACGTTATCACGGAAATGGATATTTCAACTCGCACTCGAGGCTGGATAGAGTTACAAAAGTCGCGTGATTTTGATCCGTTTACATTTGGCATCGATATGAAGAAAAAAAGGTTCAGTATCGTTCATTCAGTATTCGTATGGACATGTTTCTAAAATCTCCGCCGATAATGTAAATGGGTTAAGTCAAACGTCGTTCTGACAGCTAAGCTATGAGTCATCGAGGTGATCACTAACCAACTATGACGTTGATGATTATCACCGTCAGATACACGTTTTCCGGTTTACGTGTAAAAAGCTGTACGCAATAACCCAACGGAATGGCACATCCTCCGTAGCACAGGAATATCGTCAGCACTTGGACTGGAAATATCCATTAATCCTCGATTTTAGGGACTCGTTCGCACACATGTATTGTATTACATAACATCTTTAGGAAAAATATAATTTCGGGTTGTTCGGTAAATTCGCAAAGATTTTAATAAAAAAAATTCCTAGGCGATTCTTTTATAGTTTTGTTTTTTTATCATTCTTTTACAGTGCGGGCACAACTTTAATTTCTTCTTCTTCCTTCGATCGCGAGTCAATAAAGAAACGGTCAATACATTATTGTGTAAAACTCAACCGTAAAAGTAGTGACCTCGAACTCTTCGCAAATCCCTGCGAAATATCGAATAACCCAATATATAGGGTGAATCACGCAACGTGATCAGCCTATTCTGCTGCTTAATGGATGGCTTGAAAATTCTTACCGATTTCTAAAGCCGTAAAGCGCAACGTGCGATGGTAAGCGACTATAGTTGCGATTCCGAGTAGTATTACGGAAAACGTGTACAGGAGGAAATCGACGATATACGTCGGGATCCAATAGATCCGAGTGGACATGCCGACCGCGTTGGTTTGCAATATTTTCGAGAGTGTGTTCAGTTCTCGTACGCCCATGTCGATGGAAGGCAATAGAAGAAAGAGGGTCATTGCTATTGCGGCGTTTTCCCAATTTCTTACGTTTCGTGGACCGACCAGCAAATGTTGCCACTGTGAAGATTACACATTTCAACCCTCAACATACACTGTTAAAAGGTTCCTAAAGTAATAGCATTTCTGATAGTAAATTTAAGAATTTTATCTCGAATATATCTATTTAGTTAGCAGTCTCGTCAGTTAATTAATGGCGGAATTATCACCTGTCCCGGATTCACCAATGGTCGACTGGTCAATTTGATCTCATGGTCCTCCGACCCGGTGTGATAACGCAACAATGCATTGTGTAATAGATTTAACGCTATCGGCCCGCTGTGCACCGCGATGGGCGAATATATGAGTCGAACGCGTCCGCTTGAGTACACGTCGATGGACATCACGTAACGATCCCTGAACTACCACACGAAACGTTCATTGAAGCTTATCGTACACGGAAGATAATAAATAACTCAGTTCCTGCAACTGAATACGGGGACCGGACGAAAGCTCAGCAACAAGAAATGATATCTCTGCGACTGAGAACATTCGTGCGAATATTCAACTGCATTAAAAGCTCGATTGGGACAGTTGAGTGCAATCGATCAAGCAGAAGCCTCCTACAGGAATCTTTTCGTTTCTACAACCGAGTTTTCCCAACTAGAAATGTATTGCTTTTTTTTTTTTTCGTAGAAGCTGTCTTTAAGGTGTTAGTGTATGCTGATTTTTTTCTGATTTTGCCTGAAATTTAGCCATTTACTTCATTTAACGCTATATCGTATCTGAAAAACATGCTTAAGCAGTGATGAATTTGAACATGAGATCTCTAGACAGAGAGAGAGAGAGAGAGAGCACAGCTAACCAGTCTTAGCTGATAATTTCAGTGAATAAAATTGTACCATGCAGCAAATGCATTTCTTTTTAACAGCGAACTTTTAGCAGTGACAGTAAAGTTCAAACTACCTCATGTGATTCATTTGAATCTAGCGTTTCATTTTCTGTGTACGATACCTCTATTGAGTGCAAGTCGGGATGAATCATAAGGTCCGTGGCGGTGATATTCCTGGAGATGTGATAATTGTGCCTATCGCTGTACGATTGACCGGTGGTGTACAACGTGACGAGGAAGTCTTTCGCGAGTTTGTCGGCGGCCGCGTAATAAAGAACGTGGAAGTCGTTGATGTGCACGTAATTCGTCAGATTCATAACTCTCTCGCTGCGGAACAACAATGAGATGAACGCGCTAATTCGGGTTCTTCGACATATTTTCTATGTACGTGTAAGAATCAGAGGAAGAAATGTACCGCGGATTAAAAGAATTCTAGTTCGTATCACTAATTAGAGGCCAAACGACAACGCATGACTAAGTAACGATATCTCTGTTTCTGCGTCCGGAGACATTCGTGCGAACATCCGGCCGCTTTAAAACTCGGTTGAGATAACTAAGAACTATTGACGGAATAGAAAATTACTGAATAGGAAACAGGCATTTTTTTGTTCCCACAATCAAGGTTTTGTCTGGTCTTCGGATAACGGAAAATCAATTACATGAGTCAAGTATTTTGTTTCCATAAATGTTAACATTTGTGTTAATGGAAAGAAATCGTTCTTTTTTACCGCCTGAAAGACACGCAGGATCGACTTACGTCATATCGAAGAGCGTGAAACTGCTGAGCTCGCTCATGGTAGTCAGGATTAGTATAACGATCGCCAATATTATCTAGAATCATTTCCTCGATTACCCGATTGCATCAGAATACGTGACTACTTCTATCTCTTTTCTTTCTCCAAGGACAAAGGAATAAGCTTACCGAATATGCGTATATCCTCCAGGACGAGGCGATATGTAACAACTTTTTATAGAACATCGCGAGAACTTGCTGCCGTCGTAAAACCTTGCCGGTCAGCCGCTCCCATGATCTAGCTAATAATGAAACCTCGGTTCAATTCACCTTGATCTCTAATATAAATAAATAATATAGATCAATCTGATTTATACGCAAAATATTACGTGTTCGTATTAAATCTCGTCGTCTCTTTTGTACGATAAGCTCGTACTTGGCGTCAGGCAGTTGCAGGCGCTCTTTAAATTGACTCGATAGACCGATCCTAAATATAGAACACAAATTAGCATCGCGATATCGAACGGTTGTTTAGTTTTTTACGCTTATCCCCGTGTCGGAAGTCGATATCATACAGTGTCTAGAAAGTTTCGACACGGCGGCCGTGTGCAGGTGAAAGATAAAATGGAATCTATTATAACGAGATATTATTTCATAAATGTTCGTTTGGCCGTACCTGAGTAACTGGCTCTCGATGCTTGCGACGCTCAACGTAATCGACACGATACCCAGTTCCTCCTTCTTACATTCCAGATATTGAAACAATTTGGTGAAACGACTGCTCCGCGGCACGTCGAATCTCACCAACAAACCCATTACATTTCGCAGAGTGATCGGATCCGCCGAGAAACTTTGTATTTCCGAGCGGAGTCGCTCCACATCGGCACCCTCTTGCACCAGCAGGCTCAGAACGTAACCAATTCCTAGTACCGATTGTTTTTCGAGGGATGTGATTAGTTAAGGTGGATGGGAAATTATTTTTATCTTTTCGAGGAATGCTGACACATTATGCGTATTTTTACATATGTTTAGTATTTTTTAATTCAAACATTACTGTAAACGAATCAATTACACGAGTCAAGTATGTATTTTTAATGATTAAATATATTCGCCATAAAATATAATATAAAAAAATTTCTACAATAATAAAAAGAAAAATACTGTCGTATGATCGACAGAAAAAATCGCGAATCTGTCTCATCGAATTTAATATTACGGACAACTTTGAGCGAATCTAACCATATCGACGATTTAAATACATCTTCGAACCGTAACACTCGATCCTTCCGTTTACGAGAATCGCTATCCTGTCCGCGAGGAGATCAGCGGCTTCCATGGAATTCGTTGCCATTAATATGGTCTTGTTTCGTTTTATATCCTGTAAATTGTTACTGTTCGTTATCTGCGGAGTGACTTCTATATGGGTGTTCATTATCGAGCGGTTTCTCGAAACAGAACTACTCACTGAAAGTAAATCCCACGTTTGTCTTCTGTGCTCGAGATCGATTCCGTACGTCGGTTCATCGAGGATCAGTATCTGTCGAAGTGTACAATTCAATTGTTCAGCTCGTCTGATTTATCCATTACCGTTAATTTTATAATCACAAATTTTCTAAAATTTCACAACATTAATCGTTCTCTTTCTTTTCGAATAACGTAATATACCTTAGTGTTGCCAATAAGCGCCATTGCCAAGCAGATCCTCCTTTGCGTACCAAAGGAGCAAGTTTTCACTTTCGAATTTTTAACAGATTCCAAATTGAGTTGCTTCAATAGTTTTAACGATTCTCTATAAGCGTCTTCGTAAGTCATCCCTTTCATCTACGAAATAACAATTTAACCGTCAAAATTATATATTACGTATTACTCTAGTGTATATATATATATATTATTGATTGTTATACCAGGTGTAGAAGTTTGAAACCGGAATTTTTTTATAAAAATTACACGTCTGTTGTTTGAAAATGATAAAAAATATTTTATTCAAAATAATGTCCATTGCTATTTATACATTTTTCCCACCCCTCCGGCAGTTTATGAATGCCACGTCAAAAAAACATTTCTTCTTTTGAAGCGAACCAGCTATTGAGCCATTTTCGTACATTTTCATACGAATTGAAGTGTTGTTCAGCGAGAGCGTGTCCCATTGATGCGAATAGATGATAATCGGACGGAGCCAAGTCTGGAGAATAAGCCGCATGCGTTAGTATTTCCCAACTGAACGCCTCGATCGTTTCCCTGACCCGTTTTGCTGTGTGTGATGGGGCATTATCATGGAACAAAATGACTTTGTGTTGCCTTTTTCCATATTCCGGTCGTTTTTCACGCGATTTAAATCAATCATTTGCTGTTGGTAGCGATCAGTGTTAACGGTCTCACCAGGTTTTAGCAGCTCTTAATAAATTACACCCTTCTGATCCCACCAAACACAGAACATTGTCTTCTTTCCAAAGCGATTTGGTCTTGCAGTGGATGTCCATGGTTCGCCTGGATTCACTCATGATTTCTGACGCTTAGGATTCTCAAAATATATCCATTTTTCATCACCTGTCATGATACGATGGACTTTCTTTTGTATCTGTCGAGCAGCATTTCACAAGTGGTTTTTCGATTTTCTTGCTGTCTTTCATTCAGTTCATGCGGAACCCATTTTCTCACTTTCTGAATCTTTCCCATGGCTTTCAAACGAATTGAGACAGCTTTCTGCGTCACATTCAATTCATCCGCGAGTTCTTGCTGAGTTTGAGTATCATCTTCATCCAATAAGGCTTGCAATTCGTTGTCTGCGAACTTTTTCGGTGGTTTCCCACGCTCTTCGTTTCTCACGTCAAAATCACCACTTTTGAATTTTTTCAACCACTCGAAACACTGTGTTTTACCAAGAGCATGTTCACCGTAAGCTTCGACAAGCATTCGATGCGCAGCAGTTTTCTTCAAATGATAACAAAAAACCAATGCTGTCCGCAAATCGTAGTTCGTAGGCACAAAACTCGACATGTTTAAGGTTATAGAAAAATATACCGGTATGTGGAACTTGGGTTGTTGTGTGTTGAAAATCTTCGTCAGCTGTTAGAGGGAGATGATGTCGCTGCAGAAGCGGTCTTACGGTCCCTAAACTGATGGCTAGCACTATCTATAGGGAAATTCCGGCTTCATACTTCTACACCTGGTATATTATTACATAATTTAGGAACGTAAATTTGTGTACGCCATAAACATTATATACGTGAGATTATGGGGAAATAATTCAGTTATGCCGGAAATTACTGGGTCGAGCGTAAAGCCTGACAAGAATCCACTTTCTAATTATAAATCAGAATGATTAAGGGTGTGTACGATATGCACTAGACCAATTCTTTCACCTAAGTCGACGTAACGCTTATTTTGAGCGAGCATGTTGCCGAGACGCGTTTGACATTTAATATAAATACCTATGATAACTAATAACTCCAAATGTCAAACAACCTGTTTTAATTGATGCTAATTATTGTTCAACAAATCTTAAACAGTCGTTCAATGTGCGAAAAACTGATACATGGAAATTTAACTCTGTTCGATATTTGTTATTGGTTTTATTGTTGTTATTGTTTGTGTTGTTTGACATTGTTTTTTACGCAACAATGATACTACAAGGTAAAGCTGCTGTCGTGTCAATAGAATTGGCCAACAGCGTCATAATTGAACAAATCTTCTTGGCTCAACAGCAATATTATTGAAATATAAATAAATATGTCAAACGTTCTTTTATTAACTCGAGTGTTAGTTTCAATTATAGTTTAAAAAGTTGCTTTTTCGCAACTTAAATGATATGTTGGACAATTTTTAATGTCCTTTATTATATTAATGTGATCCAAGAAGTTAAGTGATCTTACTTTTGTTAAAATTTTTATCTCTATTTCTATCTTTAATCGTAAACAATAAATTTATGCCAGAAAATCCATATGATTCTATTAAGAAAATTAAAAATTAAAATTAGCTTTGAAATGATGTTGAGAAAATAAATTAAATTTTGAAAAAACTCAGCTTTTCCCGGATCTTCAAAACTATAGTTCTAATAATATTATTATCGAATCAAGAAGATTCACCCCAATTATTACGTTATTGACCGATTTGATCGACAATAGCATTTCTTCCCGCTTATAATATTTACCATCCCGAACATATACAGATGCTGTATCGTCGTCATATAATTCACCAATATGTTCTCCTGCGGGCAATAACCGATCGGAACTGTATTGTTTTCGTTCTGATTGCCGTTCCTCCCCTCCAAGTAGACGCGGCCGTGAGTCGGCTTGTACATTCCTGCGGCGCGCGTCCTCCGATCGCAATTAAGCCGTCGATAAGCACGTCAATGAATGACAAAAGAAGCTCATACCTATGATCATCTTTAGCAAACAACTCTTGCCGGCGCCGTTATGACCGAGAATAACGCTGAACTCATCACGGTAGAAGTCGATCGTTACGTCGTCCACGGCGGTAATACGATTACCGAACTTGCCGAATCGCCTGCTGACGCATCTCACTCGAATAGACGGCTGTATATTTTTTTCCCACACACACACACACACACATGTAAATCATTTTCGCGCGAGGACAAAGTATTCGTAGGTACGCGTTAATGACTCGTCAAAATTTCGATTCGAACATCTCGCATTGAGGAACTGAATGAGACGGTCGATGCTCCCAGATGTTCAATCGTTGACAATGAAGTGGCCAAGAAGCGAGGATGTGGCTAACGAGTAATAATATTTCTTTCGCGGGAGAATAATAAGATCCGCGATTTATCGTGCGCGCTGAGACATTTCCTCGGTTTCCGTTCGTTACCGCGCTGAAATTCAAAGTCGCGACACACGGTGTTACGATACCGTTATATACGACGGGATGTGCTCCACCGCTGACCAATTAGTCGATCCCCGGTACCTCAATTCGTCAACGTCGCGAGCCGATCTCTGAAAAAGCGAATGGTAAATCTGGACATATCCGCGGCAGCGTCTCCGCAATGTCAAAACATCAGCAATTAATCACGATTCGTCATTTACTTGGCACAAATAATACCAAGGCTTCGGGCTACCAAATTTTCCCGGATTGACGTTGTCCAAGTACACCGCCGCCAGGTACCAGAAGACGATGTGCATCACCCACGCTAACAGGATCGCGCCGATGGAGATCTTTTCTCGCGCGTGCACGATATCGTAGGTGTTACGGAGCATCATCAGTTCGGAGAGCCATCGTGGCCACAAGTGCGAGGTGGGACCGGCGGAATCGCGCGATCTCATTCCCCCGAGGATACTATTCAACTCGTCGTGCCCATAATCGCCTAACGATAGATGAAATTTCACTAATTACCCAAATAACTGCATTATGTATGTGGTGAATTCGTGTGAACTCGTTGCGAGAAAATCAAGTTAAAGAGAGGCAAAACCGAGGTAATTCGTGGCCGAATCTAATATCACGACAAGCGAATTTCCGCGTTGCATTTTAGACGTGCCGAGTGACGCCCGTTGTGCAATTTTTACTCCGACCTCCTCGTTTCATTATCATCCGTTTCGCTCGGAGTAATTACGCGGTTACTTTGTTGAAAATGTGCGTGCTATCGTTTTCACCTGGATCTATGCGCGTCGTGAGGGCCACCAGTCCGTACAGCAAACCGCTGTGCGGCAAAATCAACGATCCGATCTTCCACATGAGAGACGCCCTCGCGAGATACTGATCGAGGACGAGAGTGAAATGCGCCAGGAAAATCCAGGACAGGATCGACGTGAGCAATGCCTTTGTAGCTGCGAGAGAGAAAAACGAGGTGAAACTGTTGAAATCGAGATCACGGGCGCGCACACGCGCGGAGAAAATGTTATTGTATCAATAGAATCGGTTACAGTAACACACGATTAAAATAAATTCTTCTTTTATTTCATGTTAATCTAGTATTTGTTCAAAATTCGAATTTTCGTTAGATAAACCGAAAGAGTTAAATTTATCAAGCTTATAACATGTGAAGCGAGCTTGATGCGGAAATCGAGTTGCTTTCTCGACACAATAACATGAGTTACACAACCGACGATAAAAGGAGACTCGAGATACAAAAACGGATAAATACTCGACACGTGTTGTGTCTACTATAAAAAAAAACCTAATAATAAGAATCTAAATAACAAGATTAGAAGATTCGTCGATTTAGATCACAAACATTACCATATTTGGACATTGTCTAATGCTTCATCCGATCGAAGGATAACCAATCAGCTCGTTCCGCTTGACACAAATAACCGTATAAAACTGGGTGCCTTCGGAGCGACGAATTAGAAGTCAGAAGTCAGAATCGGAAGTAAAAAGTCAGAAGTGAGCACGAAGAAGTTAGAACAGTTTAGTCGATCCTAATTGTTCGCTTTTCTCGGCTCGCTACGGTCTCAACTACTCTCCGTGCGAGAAATCAAGACTCACTATCTCGAATCATCGCGTTGCGCTATGTCATTCGCGTTCTCGCGACTACCTCGCGAGTGATCTTCCGGTCATCAATTTAAATTATATTTGTCATTTTGAACGTCGTGATCGTCGAATTAAATCGTGTTGCGTCCTACAATGGTGGTTGCGCGTGGCGGACAATAAGAAGAAGAAGACTGCTCGAATCGTCAAACGCTGCGAAGAATTCGGCACTGGCGAGCGCCCAGGAAGGCCGATCGAGCGAGTTTTGAACACGTTTGTTCGACAAGCCGGAGGACGTCTCCTCACGCCGTGAACTGTAAGGGCCAGATCGCCACTCCGCCTCATCTCATTGACTGAATAAACCATTGCCTCAACTGCAATCGATTCCTAACTATTTTTCCTACATCGATCCTTCACTGCATTCCGTGCCCTGCGCTGTGCAGATCCAGCCGGAGCGGTACTCTCTGACAGTTGAGTGCATTCGCTAACAGTATTGAGTATTCAAATATTCAATGTAATATTATTAAAATTAATATTTAAGTTATTAAAGCACAATGCGTCTATGATATTATTAGTTGAAATAATAATAATAATAATGACACTGATTCAAAGAGATTTTACTCCAATTACGGTGCTGTCAACCAATTCTGTTGATACATGACAGAATTTATCTTCTGGGCATTTCATGTATTTTTCCACGACTCTGAATGACTCACAGCGATTGAAGAACGTGCCGATGGTGAACATGAAGAGAGCTGTGAGGATGTTGTACATCGCGACGAAGATCGCGATGATCAGCACGTTTGTGGCCGCGAACACCGGCGACAGCAAGATCACGCACACGATCGTCACGGGTAACACGGTGATCATGAGATAATTAAGCCAGCCGACGTACAACATCGAGAAGGACATGCTCGTCAGTCTCATGAGACCCTGAAGGAGACGCGCATGTATCTCCGGACCGACGCTTTCAAATTCACACGTTTACTGTCGTTACAGTGATATCGGGGAACTTTTTCTCTAATTTAAAAGTCAACGTGAAAGTTACACGGCTATTATTCGGCCAAAAACACGACGAAAATATTATTTCCGCAAAAAAAATCAGCCTGAATTAACTTGTAGTTCGCGTGTGAAACAGAGGATTTTTCTCGCACGGAGAGATGATTAATATTCAGTTTCAACTAACGAGCGTAACGAGAATCGTGGCGCTACGAAGAGACCACGTGCGACCTTCTGCGAAGCGGAGAATTAATTATACAAAATGATATAGGATAATCGCGATCGTATCAATTGAGCAATAATATTGAAACCGGTCACAGAAAGAAGTATGCGGCGAACGCTTACTCTGAATCCAGTTTCTTTGTCGTGTAGAGCCTTTCGTAACGTCGTCGTTGGCAGCAGGAGGAAGGCAGTCATTATCATATAATAGATTACGCTTATGTTGGGTCGACTGACTGATGGCAAGATCAAGAAGTCTATTTTATAGAATGGGAACCGCCCCACAGTTAGCTACAAATGAGCCTGTTCTTATCAGCTGCGCTTAATTTATATCCGCAACGTTTAAAGCAGTTTAAAATAACGATATTTCAAACGCGAATTGTGAAAATATCTTCTGTCGAAAGAAAGGGGTACTACACTTGGATCAGTAAATATCATTTGAACGGTAGCACTTTTTTTCAATGTAGAATCAGTCGCGTTTTATATGATTATTAAAAGCGTTCAGGTAAGGAAATTTTCCACAGGCAAAGTAATTATTAGACAATTTACGTCATCGGCGATCCTTGGTAGCGCCGGATCGGTCCACATCTCTACAAAGCTTTTTTCAATCGCAAGTTGCAAAGCCATGAAACCGCTCGACAGGTACGGATCTTCGGTAAACGCGAATATATAAATGATTCATTACGATATCTTTTCTTTTTTCTACTGCTGCTTTTAATATTCTTAAGTTTTTTATTCTACGAAACGTTTTTTACTGCATGTTTTTAGTTATTCTATGAAAGTTCTCAATATTTTATGTAGTTAGTTGTTCTACGAAACATTTTCTAATACTGCATGTTTTTATAGTTAGATCGAGTGGAATGATTCGAGCTTTGCGTCTTTGATAAGAGAAAAAAGCAACGAGGTCGATCATAATTGGAGGCACGTGGCAAGTATTGCGTTTGAAATAAAAATTAACATACGCGCACGAGGCGCAATATTTCACTCGTTGGACTCAAAGTACCTTCGCGGACGGACTCTTCCTCGTGCATTATGATCATCCGATTCTCACCGATTTCCGACGAGCGTATTTTGTATTTCAGAATTTCCGGCTTGTCCGATGCATGTTTATCAATTTCGAATATTGCCCATAACACTTTGGAGGTGTCGTTCTTCGTGTAACGCAAATGCACTAGGCTGATCTCGTTGTCGGCTGCTTGAACTGAAAAAATGCCCAATATTCTATCTTGTCCCTTTCACCAGAGAAAAAAATTTCTTTGGATTTAGTGTAGATGTTTGTTTAATATGAACATAATTTAATATCAAATATCATTTTGTCTGAATGGAAATGTTTCACAAGAGTAGATTATTTAGTTAGGAAAAAATGATATTATTTAGAGGGAATAAGATTTCATTTTCACTAAAAACATTTATTTCATTGTATATTAAATATTGTTCTATTGAAACGAAAAGAAGTATTTTAAATATTTTTCTAACACAGTATTACTTCTTTCAAATAATTTACTGCTTGTGACAAACATCGTTATTTTAATTATTTAAACATTTAATATTTGGATTAAAATAGAAAAGAGATACGTTATTTGACGTAAAGGTATTTATTGTTTGAGAAACCAAACAATCCTGTTATTATTTGTTGAATCAAACATTCGTTTGTTTCCTCCGTTGCAAAAGACAAAATTGTTTCAACTAAAGAAATTTCGCTAAATCCAGAGTAAACTTTTTCTCCGTGCACGCTCAAAATATTCGTTGTCTTACTATTCGTGTGAAGCATTTTTGAAACTTTCGACATCAACTCGTCGATAAATGCACCTCGCGGTGCGTACCAGCATTTCACATCGGCCGGCAATTTCGCTAATATATCGTTTCGACTATATAAATCTAGCTCCTTCATGTAATCGTAAGAACACATTGTATACACACAACTGTCGGGATTATTAGTAACTCATCGAGGCTAATTTATTTATTTTGCGACTGCGAGAAATATTATATTCTTAACATATCAGTATATTAGCATATTATGCAAATATATTGATATATTAAATGCTATTATTTCATTGGGTTTTGCCGATGATGTGATATTAAATAATATAGCGTAGGAGACGTAATAAACGAACGAAGTGCAAACACCCGTTCCGTCGTATGTAACTTTACAATTATCACTTGAGTTACCTGTGAACGAAGAGCGCTCGGCTCAAACATTAAACGTATTTGCAGCGAAAGGATAATGGCTATGACAATCTCCAACGCGGTAATTATCGGACTGTGCAATCGCATTAGTACGGCTTTCCACATAAGAATCCGCCATTTCTTCCGGAACTCCTTGAATTTCGGATGCTCAACGATCTCTCTCACCCGATGCATCTCCCTTCGAAATATTCCAATATTATTTATCATGCTGAGTGACTAGTGACACGATCTGACGCGACTTCGCGGTCTATTTAACTCCAAGAGAGAGAAAGATAAGTGGCAAGGTGGTCGTGTTCCGCGACGAAGCTGGGAAACTTGACGGTCCAAGACAATCGTTTCTTCGAGAGAGTCCATGAAAATGGAAAACAAATGAGTCCACAACGAGCGAACAGCGAAAGCATAGGTCTGTTCTTCTTAGTTGAACTAATATTGGAATTTCGCTCCTTTCCTTTTAAACGTTATATATTGGGCTGTGTAATAAGTAACTTCGGACTTTTCAGGTAAAACTATAGAGACGATTATATTTCTATGTTGTTGTAACTTTGTGAAACAATGCGATGAATGGCGGAAAATCATGGATCAAAATGGCGTATATGTTGTCTCGTGACAATTATAACGACACAAAAATCAAAATGTTTCATTTTATTGGTAAAATTCCCAATTGCTCGTTACATAACGCAATATTTGTTTCACTTAAAAAATGTGCGACCTAGTTCAGTCAAAACGAACAGATCTTATGATATATATGCGTCATACATTGCGCGACACATCGCGCACGAGCTTTCTTTGATAAATCTCCTCATTATAAATCGGCTCGAACACGAACGGAACCGTTTTAGTCGAATGCGTCACGGCGCATACACTGCTATATGGCTTACCATTCCCTAAATCGAAAGTCGTACGATTTTAGCCTCACACGTATATCGGGTGGTATTCGTGGTGTAACGGACGGAACGGATAAAACTGAATAGAAAAGTCTCGAACCATGTAACATTTTGCAAAATAATAACCCAACCGTTATAAACAGAGTTACTTGTGCGATTTTCAATCTTATACGTATTTCAACCTGATCATGAATTCTCGATTTATGGAATGTATGGTCGGTAACGAAAACAAAATTACAACATTTTTTTCTTGAATTTCGGAACGCATCCGGTATCCGATAGGAGAATTTGAATATTTTTACTGCCCAGAGTATGGGACAGTAATGGAGTCTTCTGTACACATTTTCCAAACTGTACCAGCGAGAGTTCATTTATAGTTCGCGTGTTCGCTGCACAGCTACCTTTACGTGAACGCACAGAAAAATAAGATCGATATCGCCGGTACCATGACTACGAGATATCATCGGTCGATTCGATATGAAATCGCGTTTGACAGCCCGAAGGGGATTTCGAGCGGAGCAGCCATTGACAAAGTTTCGCCGCAGAAAGGAAAGTGATCCGCGCGCGCATAGCGGCCCAGGGGATTGCATCATTAAATCGCGGTGCGTTCGTCAGATTTACATGCGAATTTTTTTCCCTCCTTTCCTCCGATCCCTCCGCTTCCCCGTTTTCATTCTCGCGCGATCGGGAACGTTCATATTCTGCGTACTTTCTAGAGTGGCCCGAAAGATCGTTGCTATTAAGACACTCTTTATCGCCGGAGACCGCTTTTCTTCTTTTATTGCACGGTTCAACGGTAAAGTGTTTGATTAACGGCGTGGAAATTATAAGACGGTCGATGCCGCGTGAATTACGGTTGGGATTACGCGAAGTTACGGGCGTCACGTTTAGATAGTCCGCGAGAGGATTCGGAGGCTCGAGAAAACGCCGAGCTGTTAAAAGTGACAGGGATCTTATCCTTGCGGTGGATCCCGCTTATTGTCGGATTCGCGTGCATTTGACGAGTTAAGACGCGCCTCCGCTGACATTCACGAGAGAGATGAGGAATATTCAACGTATCTTCAGAGATATCAAATTATCAAGATTGTTTGTGGAACTGCCTCTCTTGTCGGTGAAGATAAGCTTGGCGATGATAATCGCGACTTTCAGAATGATCGTGCCGCGTTCCATGAAACGTTTACTCGGAGAAACCGTTCTCGTAAGTTCTCCGCCTCTCGGCGAAACAAAACGGCCTGACATTTCCGAATTACCGAGAGTACACGCGGATACGCGAGGGCTAATGTTTCACAAACGTCGAAATTAGATCACCGGCGCGGGTCACGGTGTTGGCCGTGAGTTAGCTATCCAGTTATCCTCGTTGGGTTGCATAGTTGTTTGTTGGGACGTCGATGTTGAGAACAACCGATCAACCATGAGAGCTGTGTCGAAAAACGGCGGAGAAGTAAACACATGTTAATTGAGTCGAGTTATAATTATGCTTGATATTATCCGATAATATCAAGAAATACTTATATTCATTTAGAAAAAATAGTTTCTGGAGAGAATTGATGTTTACTAGTCGGCAGCTAGCTCGCTAATTATCAATAATGACGAATGTATATTCTGGAATGATTGAAAACATTTCCCACACGCGTACGAAAGCAATAGATTTAAAGGCCAAAAATAAACGATTTTTATAGCTCAATTCAATAAACTGTTTAGAAGCTTAATAATTCATGTTATATAACTAAAATGTTACACCATGTTGGTAGTTGATTTAATACCGATCCTAATCCCAATTTTAAAAGAAAGGTCATTTCTTTGTGAAAAGGTTGCGAACACTTTTATAGAGAGACTGAGAGAGAGAGGGAGAGAGAGAGAGAGAGAGAAAGGCATGACATAAGCTGTAAATGTTCTTAGGTTTACGGTTTTGTGGTCGATGTCTCAAAGAGATTGGAAGTGCGAGAGACGGTGAGATTGATGAGAAAACTCGATGTGCCAGATGTGACGATACTCATTAATAACGCAGCTGTGTTATATCATAATCCATTTTTAAGTTGCGACGCGGACGATGTGGAAAAGACATTTAACGTCAACGTGTTCTCAAATTTCTGGGTATGCTTGAAAGGGAAAGTAACTAGATTGTTGCACTGTTACATTGCAATAAATTAGCAATACATTGCAATAGATTAACATTTTTTTTACCAACGGTAAACTCTCTCTTTATAATATGTACTTTTCTATTAAAATTAATAACGTGTTATTATATCACATTTGTCGCATCATATTATATCTTATTATTACGAAATTCATGAATGTTGTTAAAATAGGAAAGAAGTATAGTTCACGGTTTTCATTTGAAATAGACGATAGAAGCATTTCTGCCAACGATGCTGCAAAGAGGAAGCGGGCACATAGTGGCGATGAGTAGTATGTGCGGTATTTACGGCGTATCACATAAGGTGGCGTATTGTTCGTCGAAGTTCGCCGTGAGAGGTATTTTTCATCGACACGCAATAATTCGCTCCCCCGCAATATACATTTTCCATGAAAAGTTCAACTTTCCTTCGAGGTCTTATGGAGGCCCTTCACGAAGAAATTCGCCTCAACGAGAGAAAACCCAACATTCATTTCACGACGATCTATCCATTTTATATCGACACGGGATTAGCGAGGGACCCTAAATACAGGTGAAACATATTGACATAAATAGAAAAAATATTAAGTTACTCGTATTATATTAAAAAAAGGAACATGTAGTATTTTACACCGGGAGAATTAATTCTCGAAGCTACATTGATGAAGTGTTCCTTTATATTTCATTGAGAAAACCAAGGAAAAACATTTTTTTGAATTTAATACAATTTCTTTAATTAATTAAAACAAATATTTTTGGAACGAAACAAACAAATGAATGTTTGATTTAATAAACAAAATTGTTTGGTTTCTCAAACGATAAATATTTTTACTTCAAACAACATATTTATGTTATTTCTATTAAACAAATCCAAGTCAAACAAATACGTATATTAAATCCAAAGAAATCTATATAAGCCCCTAAGGTCCTACGCCATTTTCTGATTCATTTTCACATATCCGAGTGATGATAAACAAAGCATTTTAAAAGAAGTTACGCCGAAAACGCACGAGCTTCGCTACAATCTCATTATATCTCGGTTATTACGCTCGCGCGACTAATTACTTCGGGGTATCCTCGTAACGAGCGTATATCGCAACTACCGTTTTCATGTCGATATTGTGTGGTGTTAGATGTGGTAATTTGCACGCGAACATCGGGTTTGTAAGCCGAGCGTGGCTCTATCCGGTTTAATATGACGCAAGTGTGGCCAAGTGCGATTATTTGACACGTAACCAGTAGGAAAGTATGGCTCGTAAAGCGATGGTAAAAATAAAAATCGCGCACTTGCTTAATAATTCAACCGTATCCGATGATTTCTCCACGTTTGCACGCGCTCGAAACTATTAGATTCCAATTTTTGGCGTTCTGTCCCGATCAATGCCCCTCTTGACGGCTTTGCATTACGTCCATTTTATCACTCACGAAATAATTCGCGTGTTCACACGTGGAGAGAATATTACCTTCACATAAATTCTTAAATAATTCTTTCGTATGTATACATTTGTTAATTTCTTATAAATATGACCTTCTTCATCATCTAAATTCTTTTAAATCGTTTACTTTTAAATTAAACTATTAAACTGAATTTTATCATGTTCTGTAGGAATAGATTGTCAGTATAGATTACTAAGGAACTTAATAATTTTTTTAATGAACTTCACTTCCGAAAGCATAAATAGCACGTGCGAAATGGGAAAGCCGTAAATGAAGACACAACGTCAATATATTGCGCGGTTATAAAATTCTATGTCGATTTTCGCTATAAAATTCTCCGCTTCCGGATAGGAGTTGCATGATACGACGAGACATTAGCTCGACGAAAATTCTCGAGTTCACGCTTGGGCTAATTTAATGACTGTAATAAACCGCAATCGTAACGATCATCAATAACGTGTGAGAGATAACGCAACGCGAAACTGTCTCAAACGGTCGCACAATGACGGTGATTGGGAGGGGGCAATTGGCGATAACCCCGAACCCGTGAATTCATGGATCGCCGACTAGAACTGTGATTACAGATTTCCTTATATCTTCGGTGCGGTGACGGCCGAGTATGCCGCCCGGGAAGTGATCAAGGCGATACGGAGAAATTACACGGAGCACACGATACCACGATGCCTCCTCTCGTTGAATGCGATCAACAGGTACGTGCAGCACGTGTGGAAAGTCGTGCACTGTACCTTGCGACGAAATTACTTAATAAGCTTGTTATCTTTCGCAACGGTCGAACAATGGACTTGGCCGCGCTTTTGCGAGACGATCCGCCGACGATAATTATCTCGAGCGAAAGTTACGTCAGGCGATCATGACGACAGAGATTCGTCATAATCTCGCTTATTATTTACTCAGGATTGTTCCAGAGAACGTGATGCGTCTAATACTGGACTTCTTGGCAAACGTTAATCGAAAACAGGCTGAACGGAACGTAGTGAATTTATAATTCAGATTTTAGCAATTCGATGAGATTGATTATACGAGGCCCGAAAAACATCCAAGTGGAGATATAAAATGTGAATCGTATACACGTAAATATATGTAAATAGCTGAAATAATAAGATGTGATATGTTATTTTAATAAAGGTCATTTTATTCGCAGCAGAAAAGATATTTCGCATTAATATTCTTCTCTATATATACATTTTTCTCGGAAGAGATACTTTTATTGGGAAGGTTGAGAGGGAAAGGAGCTGTTTGAATGAATTTTGCGCAAAAATAAGAGCCTTAGCAGAATGGCTAATTTATACCTTTAAGACAGTGTCTCATTCCTTCAAACTTTATCGAAATTATCTTTTTTTTTTATTTTCTATTTATTATATAGCAGTTTGTCATGAATTGCGAATAGAACGGATTTTTAGTTTAATTCCTCAAGATACAAGACAGTCATTGCAGAGGAGGAAATAGGTGTGCCAAGTTCGACAAATTTATTTCTAGCGATGTATCACGCAGACATTAGAGTTCAGCGAGATTCAATGTGGCAAAATAATGATAGAAATAAAACAAATTGCACTAGTAGCATATACATATATGTTATTTTGACGAACTATTATAAATTAATACGCCGCCATCTTAATTTGGCACTTTGATATATAATTATAATAAATATTTATCAGCTTGTGAGAGGTCATTAGTCTGAGGTTTTAGTATATTCCGTCTATTTTCAGCGTAAAACGTTTACATTTTATAGTAAATTTCAAAATTGAAAACCTGTCCTATTTCACTAAATACTTACTATAGTTACTTATAGTTACTTGCTTATTTTTGAGTCGAACGTATTGAGATTTGGCGTGCAATAGCGGATGCAACGGTTATTTTCGCCATGGTATGCGCGATTCAAAGGTTGGCCTTGACTTGCTTGGTAGTGGAAACCGGCTTAAAGAACTGTGCAGTTAAAGCAGGTTGTTTTTTTGCCTTTATATTGCTCTTGAAGGCGTACACCGGATGATGCTGCAAATGTTCTACGTCATTTTCCAACATTGAGATATGTGACTTGGAGACTTAGGAATATGTATTGCAAGACTTGCGTCTACGTTTGCGAAAAATGTATTTTGTTAACATGTTGTATAATTTTGTAAAATAATATATCATGATTTATCGATGAAAAATATCAGCGATTTTATTACTTTCTCTAACGGAAAATAATGTATCAGTCGTTGGAATTAATAGAACATTCTTAGATAACGAAGGAATTGGCAAAGGATTGTATGCAGCAATGCTGCATTGTAAGATCTATCGCGATTTTTCGCGGTATTTCGCGGATAAGAAACGATTTGTCGGAATTGTTTTTTACATTTGCCGATTGAATGCTAACTTGAAATCTAAGTGACGGTAAATCATTTCTTAGCATTATGCCGCTGCAAGGAAACGCGCTGGATATCATTATAAATATTATCTGGATTTTCTTTTATGTGCCAATATAAGGATAAATTAATTATGAATTGAGGTCTATGTAGAATGCGTTTCGAGACCAGAGCGGGCACGAGCGAACATTTCTATTAATAGTTATAATGCATTCGCGGTTACAAAGTAAGCACTTACAAGGTGACAATCGCAACTTTATTATATAACAAAAACGTGGAATTGCACATGAATAATGCTGAAACACTTAGAAGCAATTTGCAGAAATACGCGATGCGATCGGAACGATCGAGACTGAATTTCAAAAAGTCATCGTTTAAAAGTTTTATTATCTTTGTAAATATCTCAACTTTTAAATCGTTTTCTAGTGGCGTCAATAATTACATAAAAAACATATTACTTGTGTTTAAATTTTGTGTTAAATTTTTAACATACCCATGTGTTAATTTAACATATTATGTATGTTACCTCAACATTTCGCGTTGTATTGATATTTAACACGTGTAAATGTTAAAATAACAAATGTTATACTTCAATATCAATTAATGTATTAATTTTGTGTTAATTTTGGACACAATGTTCGTGTTATTTTCCAACATACTCACCTAGTATTACATTAATACAAAAATTTGAATAGACCTTTTGGGACATGTGAAATGTATTAAATTTAACATAAAATTTCTTACTGTGTAGGTTATATTTATTAAGCAACTATTTATAAAGCAACTATTAAAATTCTTAAACTTTAAAAAAAAACTCATTTTATACTGCAACATCTCTAAACACAATATTGCTATTCATTTATTCATGCATTTATTCATGCAAATCATCGAACTGTTGCTTTTGGAATGTTTTTCAAGAAGTCTTTTTTATTATTTTTTTTCTTTTATTTTTCCAGTTTGACATCACAGCCAGCACTATTTAAGGAAAAAACCGCCCCACGCAGATTCGCATGGACGTCGGACTGCATAGAAGGAGAGGAAGATAACGACAGTAAGGAAGACGACGGCCTTGTGTGTCTACGGATACCTCGGCTATCGCCAGCAGGTTTCTGCAGAGCAGCGTTCAGTCAAGTTCAAGCGATTCCAGCGTTCTGATCGTTGCTACGTACTTGCGATCCTAGTGAATTGTTGCTCCCACGCGTACTCTTACCGCCCGCGGAACTGTCAAGGAATCAGTTGATTCAACGCGATCCAGTGATCTACGAGTTCTCCACAGTAACGTTTCTCGCTTTACGCGCGTGTCTCCCGACCAACTGTAATATACGACACCGCGCTACAGGCGGGTTCATCGTGTGAATAGTACGAAGTGAATTTTGAAAATTCTTTTTAAACATATAGGTAGGTTGCACACATATGTTAATAAATATTACACATATATTATAGATATGTTAATATATATACATTTTATGCATATTAACAACTGATATATATATATATATATATCGATATAATATATATATATATATATATATATATATATATATANTCAATTCACGTTTATTGAAATTTGACTTGCCTTGACTTGACGACACCTCGCATTCTATTTATCTATATTCTTCTTAATTAATATTTATATGAAGTATTTCTATTTATCTATATTTTCCTTAATTAATAATTATTTCTTTCGAAGACGTCTCAACATATATGTCACGACATTATCGCATACAACGTAATTTCGTCTCGGTCTTATCAACGAAAAAAGTACTTTATCTTTGATGACGAATATATCGTTCTCATTTCCCGCAGTTTCTCATTCCTTAAGATCTGGATTTCGTGTAAAGTCAGTTTATTTTCTCCGAAAGCGGTGAAATAGTCGCGAAAAAATGCCGACCTATAAAATTCAGCAATTTTGTTTTGAATTATCTTTATGTATATTTGTGAACGGTGCGCACGGCGAAATTTCACGTAACTCTTGCAAATAATTCTACATAATATCGGGATGACGTAATTGAACTGGTTTCGAAAAGCACGGCATTTTCCACTACATTACATGAAACGGTTCCACACATTTTACATGTATTGCCATTATTAAATACATATACGTATACATATACAACAGCTAAATTATGCACGTTCACTGACTGAATCAGTTGCCAGCTTATAACGAATAAAACTATTACAAAAAAGAAGACATGATGATCAATGCGGTTAGAAAATTGCTTTTACATTAGTATTTTTTATTCTTCTTCGATTTTTCGATGTGATTTTTTCAAATATAACGTTTAAATTAACGTCAACTTCGATATGTATATTCAATATATCTGTATATGTATGTGTGTATATTATATAACGATATAAGATTAACTGAGTTTATTCTTTGCGATCTCAGAACGGATTCAAGGTTCAAGATGATTCAGTTGACTGCTGCATCTTTATGACGTTAAATCAAGGGAAATTAACTACGAGATTTTGTGCATTGACAACTGTTAAAAGTTAATAGTTAACAGTAGGAGAAAAATTTACCCAACAGAAATTATATGTGGGTTTGAAGCAGTCGTTCTATGGCGGTAATGCTTCCTTCTTAGATGGAGAGGTTCAAAGATCTCAATTTCGAATTATTTGGCATTTCAAATTAGCGTCTCATCTTTCATAGATTTGTTTTTGATGTTTCATGTTAAATATTTCGTTAACCTCTTCAGGATGAAGCGCGACCCGACATTGGCATTTACAGAGTAATCGTAAATTATTATTACACGTCTCATGACGTATAAAATAATATAATTAATTTTACAAATAAAAAAGTTTCATTTAAAGTGCGTATTTTTTACTTAGAAAATAATATTGGTGTAATTATTTAAATATTGTTATAAATATATGTCATTCGCATAATTACATTCATATAATGTATATATATAATATATAGTATATTATAGTATAGTATATAGTATAGGTACTTTTAATCAGGGTTGGGAAGTAACGCATTACTTGCAACGCCATTACCGTTATTAATTACTTCTTCAATAACGACTTACTAATGACATTATTAATCAAAGGTAACTTCGCCAATCCTGCTTTTAATCCAATGTTCTTATCCAACTCAAATATCGATATTAATCATATCGATATAAAATGTTCAATACATTTTGTACATCGATATTTTCATTCCCCATACGTATCGATACAACGTATCGCGATTCATTCAAGTTGTATCGCCCATCTCTAGTGGCTATTGCAAAGGATCGGATTTCTTCAATTCATCGCCACAATTCTATGCCTGTGCCAGACGCGGTGATCTTTCTTCAATTACGCTAACCTTATTCACAGGCAGATAGTGGCTTCTTCTGAAAAAAATTTCTCTCGTACAAATTAATTAATTACATCACGGGAGCATCCGCAGCACGTGCGTGCACAACCCGCGACTTGCTTATTGCATTATAAGCGCAAGTCAGCTAAACGTAACTAGTTTTTGCCGATGGAAAGTGTTGCGCTTGAAGAACGCACGTATTGTGCAATCGGAAAAACAGCTTTCACGTTGCGAATATCGCGCGTATTATTGTGTATTCATATTTCATTGTTATCAGACGCTTATTTTTTTCATTGTTACGCTACCCTACGTTTGACGAAGTTGTCTGATGTTTATGGAGCGTCGCGAGCTGTCGGTCGTGCTCTCGGTATTCTTGCTCTATTCATTGGGAAAAATAACAAAATGTGTGAAATAATGACGAAAACGAACGACTAAACGCGACACTAATTGGCACGTTTGTATTTGCGAGAGGGCCGTTAAGTCGCGCGTGATTATTATACCTTTGCGCTTTTCGAAATAGACTACCGGTTATACGCGACGGTTTCTCTCTCTCTTTCTTTTCCTCACCCGAAAGAACTTCTTTCATGAACGAGACGGAAAGGAAATGCAAGAGACGTTTTTGACCAGAGGCAAGGTAATTACATCTGACTTGTTTAGCACAAATCCACGAGCTCAACTTCACCTCGATCGATCATGTGTGCGGCTATTATGTAACGTCGCTATCAAAAATCGGGTGCACCGAACCGTACGTTCTCGAGCAAGATTTCTCTCCGCGTTCCGCAGAAAATTCTTCGCCAACATAACGGGTTACTATCGGGTTATCAATGCGAGAACGAAATAGTTCCTCGAAACACTTTTCATGAGAAATGTTCGCGTGATTGCCGTAACGTAACTAAGAAATGAGTTTGATCAAAGCTGGATTACAATTTCTCATTAACAATCAATCAATCTCACCTTCAAAACGAGATAAGCCAATAAATTCTCTGACTTTGAAAAAGTTTAATTAAAAGACGCACTCACGACGCGACAGCTAGAAATTTCGTTTCCTTCAAGCAAAACGCGTTTGGTCGTCCATCGTCCGGCAGATCCGACCAAACTCGTTTTTCAGTGCGTAACTAAGCAACTCAGCGCGGTAAGAGACAACATCGTGCGGTTAGCAAACTGCAAATGCGACGGTGAGGCGACGATCGTAAGTTTCCGGCCTGTGACAATCGGCTGCAAAGCTACGGCGTCGACCTAGCTAAGCTGTAGCTTATGTAACCAATGTTATTATTTGTTCTCCTCGACGATGTCGATTACGACCGACCGGGGGTTCCAAGTCAGCCGATCGTTTTGCGTTATTCAAACAAAGAGAAAAAAGGAAACTGAACGCGTCCGACTTTACGACTTCGTTCGGCCATAGCTTGTTACGACACTCAGAATTTTCTCAAGTTTGGTACGCATTAATTCTGCGCGGGGCTTTCGGCACGGCTTTACTATTAGTCGATCAAACGGGAAAATTTTGCGTACACTGAATCGACGGATCATTTTGTCATGATGTATCTCAGTCATCATGATACATATCAGTAAGATATATCATGATATATATCAGTAAGATAATAAATGATCGCACTCGCGTGTATTATTTTTGTACTATACTTTTTTAATAATTTTTTTATCGAATTCAGGCACCACATCAGAAGTGATCAATTTATATTGTTTTGCAGCGGATGTTGCTACCAAATAAAGAAGAAGAAATCATCGTGAACCCGAGAATGGTTTCCTTGACCAGTCTCTGGTTTTTCTTCAGTGCTGAATTTTTAATTGGCATTGCCGTATCTGCTTTCTTAGCTCTCCTCAATGCAATTAAGTCATTTTTGCCGAAACCTCCGAGGGACTTAACCGGTGATGTAGTTTTAGTAAGTGTGCTGTTCGTTATATCTTCGCTCACGTTGAATCTTAACGAAACATGTCCTTACATATTTCGAAATCTTTAAATTGAATATACATTCCGAAGCGCGCGTAAGAAGCGATGAAATAAATAAAAGAAAACGAGAAGTAAAATATCGATTAAAGAGAAAGCTGAATTAAAAGAAAAGAGAATTTATTTTCACGTAACGTGTAAGCGGGTGTCCAATTTAAAGTTTCGCGCCCGCGAATTCCACGCGATCGCCCAGATCTACCAACATTTTTTAATGAATTTAACCCATTGAGACTATATTTACTTGCCGAACATCAGCAAATTGCAGCATTAATTGTCGTTATTCGTGGAACTGAAAAATGATGACAGTTGAACATCAATTTCCAAATTTTCGTTGATTTAATGCTGATAAAGAAGTGAATTTTATAGTATCCATAATCTAAATTTATATAGTCTGACTCATCGCTTCCATATTTAGACTGAAGCGTGAGTCAAACATCTTATACAGTCTCGACAGGTTAACATTGAAGTCGCGATTCAAGGGCGAGGGAAATTTCCTTAACGCGCAAACGCGCGCCATGTGCCGCAGATAGCCGGTGCCTCCTCGACTCTCGGCGGGTCTCTCGCCGAGGAATTCGCGGAGAGCGGATGTTCCGTGATCTGCATGGATGACGACCTGCGATCGCTCGAGGAGATAACTACAAAGCTGCGATCGCAATACCGCCGAGCGCGGGAGATCGAGCATAACAGGGAGAGCGCGTCGCGGGATGCGGAATCGACAATAACGGCGTACGAGTGCGACCTCTTAGACTACAACGCCCTCCGCAAGATCGCGAAGAAGGTCGAGGACGAGGTCGGCGGTGTCGACGTCCTAGTGACCTGCGCCGGCCAGCCTAATCAGGATATTCCCGATACGGCCACTAGGACTCTCATGAGCCACTATTGGGTAAATATCAGCCGACCCGTCGGGTCCTCGTATTGTCCTGCTCCGCAATATTAAGGAGAGCGATATATGGACTATAACTTATAATAATGAAAAAGTTACGAAAGAATTAGAAATTGATCTACATGATCTATATAGCAAAACGTTCATTTACTATTATTATTATATTTTTGAAAAATATATACTTACTTCTTATTCTATATCAATTTTTGGTATATTTTTCTGGTTTTAATCAAACAGAATGCAGATAATCATATATTTATGTCACCGATGACCTCACCTTTCTGTTTACGTCCTATTGTTCCTTTTCTTGCGAGAAATAATATCGCAATAACAATTGTTTTGATTGTGAACTCGCCCGTATGGAATGTAGGAATCCTGAAGGAACGCTTCAAACCTCAAGATCAATATGATCTTGAATTGTCGTTTTCACGTTTGCACATTGCAATTCACACTCTCAGAGAGAGCAACCTTATTACTGGTTTCAGCCCCTCTTAAATATTCACAAAACGTCGGAAACAAATCCACGAAGAACGCGGCACCACCCCAGAAGCCAAGCCGAGCATTTCTCCAGATCGCGTAGACTTCAAATGTCAAATCAATTACGTATAAGTGAGCGTACGTGCGATGTGTAACCCCACTAATCTTCCTCTAATTAAATGATCGTGAGTGATTAGGAGAAAGGTGGCAATTTGATCTCGTTTTATGGTCTTTTCTTCTTTTTCATCTCCCCCCAACGATCATCCGTCGCCGTGGGAACGCAGTGTTGCGCTTTATTTTTCGCTTTCCTTCCGTGTCGTTAATGCGGCGTGTGGCATTGACACGAAACGTGTCAATGTGGCAATCGTAATTAACACGATTTAATTGACGATTTAATTGGGATTTCTCAATACGGCAAGACCACAAATATATTTCGTAACCCTTTGCGAAACAGGTTTCTCAAATATTTGAATTTTGTTTTCTTTAAAAACTCCGCCGACCGTGAACCGCTGTCCTTTGAAATGTTTGTTTCTCTTTCCTTTTTATAAATTTCCCTATCATTACAGACGACGTTGGCATTTTTGCCGTACATGCTGCGACGTGAGCGGGGAGCGTTCGTGGTCGGAATCATGCCGGTTGCGTCCACGCAAAACAGATACTTGGCTTCGAGGGCCGCGATCGCCGGTGGGTAGCCCGCGTCGTAAAAGCCGCTCGTTAAACGTTGCGCACGGTGTGAACAATAAACGTGGACCGATAGCGCGTGGTTTATTTGCACACAGGTCTCATGGAGAACATAGGTCAAAACTTGAGCAACCACGACAGTCGCCTCACCTTCCTCGCGATGTCACCGACGATGGAGAACGGGTGAGCTTTGAATGGTTGTAATCGTTAATTAAGAGCCGCGGCTTCCCTCGCGAGGGGATTAGGGATAGAATAGGAGACGAGCCGGCGGCTACTTCGCGAGTCAACTTGACACGTTACGTTGCAGTTCGATGGGGGAAAGCGAACAGCAAGTGGCGAAGGAGGTTGTCCAGGCGGTCGGAAGGAAGTGCAATGTGCATTTCAGTTGGAGCTCGAAGATATTGTACCGACTAAGGTAAAGGGAGATCTGCGCGATCGAGGTTCGAGACCGATAGCTGCAGTCGGCATGCACTCGCGATCTGTCACGCCAAAAATTGCGGATTCGACGATCAGACAATTCAAACTCGACAAAGTGAATAATAAATTCGCTTGCGTGATCGATATGTAAATGTAGTAGAAGAAGGAGAGAGAGAGAGAGAGAGACCATAAAATGAGAAATTAATTAAACTATATTAATTATATTAATTATATAAAAAGGACGATGGATCGTTCTTTTCTTTTGCGCAAAATGGCGAAGGTATGAAGTTTAATTGGCGATTGCGAAATTTATGGTTATCGATGAATTAATATTGCATAATATTGAACGATTGCATATAATATTGTATTAAAATGTATATTAAAATTTTATTCTTTTTTGTGCTGTGGGATTTTCGCGTCGTTGAATCCAAATTGATCCGAATTATTTTTATCATGGCGGCCAGATATATATGTATGTAATTTTTGTTGCTGCATAATTGTTTCATGTTTAATTAACCCCGTACGATCTTGTGTTTCAGCCTCATGATTTATAGTGCAATCACCGCGATCACACAATAGCTTCACACGCGGGGATGCGATTATTCCCTTTAAATCCTGTTCTTGCTCATGGAGCGTGAAGCATTCCAGAGTCGACCGCCGACACGAGTGTGGGAATTCGCGTTTTCAATGTCGGTGAATTCACTCCAGATGGACGGCAAAAAAAGCTTCAACGATTGTCCGAAGCTCGAGTAACGAGTGCCTTCCCACGAGTGCTGCAAGGATCGGCAGATGTACTCGGATAGCTCAAGTATCCATGTAATAGACCTGATAAAGCGAACGTCACGATTTTAAGGGAAAATTGTCACCGAGAATACTCGGATTTTGATTGATAAATGCAACTCGTCCGCACATTTCTCCATCTTCCATCAAACGTTTATAGCTGTGTTGTATCATCTACAAATCCCATCTGCATGATATTCATTATCGATCCTTAATTAGTCAATTATTGTTATTTATTTGTCGATCAAACCGCGCGTGATCTTTAGTGATCCCAATAAATTCCAAATGCCGTATGTGTGCTTTCTCTGTGTGCGTACACGTCCTCGTATGTTAATACTTCGTAAAATACGACACGTGTTCACTCAATTCACGATACAACGAGAAGAATCCACTAATATCGCTATGAATTTTTGCACTCGAATCTTTCAATTTCACCGAACCACTTGATCCGACACGGAGAAAAATGCAATTGTATCGATCCAATCAGCACAGACGTCTAAAAGACTTTTTAAAAATGTTTGTGAGAAATCTAAAAAAAAAAAAATACGAAAGCCTTTGGACGTCTTTGAGACATCTCTTAGCAATTTGTGCTATCGGGGAACAAAATTGGTTAACGGTTGCTGCATGATTAGCTGCGATGTTATTTTATTGGTGAAACTAATACTTGTCGAAACAACATTGTTGTCCCGTGTAGCTTTGCTTTTAAACACATTGTGCATCGCTAACGCGACCTACCACGCGATCCGCTCATATGAGCGCTTGGTAATCGGGCAGCAGTACGTCGTAATGACCGTTCTCGGAGGATCCGGTGAACAGGAGCCTCGCGGTCTCGCAGTTCGCGTGCACGCGATTGTGGAAGATCAGCTTGAGCTCGTATCTGCCCGCGAGCTCGCGATAGATGGACAGATTCATGCGGTGGAGCTTGGTGGCCACTGTGCACTCCAGCTCGCAGGCGAACGTGCCCACCAGGCCCATGTAGTCGAAGTACGCCTGCCGGTCCGAAATGTTCCACTCGGCCATCACGAATGAACCGTACTCGCGCCAATTGTCCATAATGTGCTGCACAACCTGCCAAACAATGGCCATGGGCTCTTACCCGCGTCGTATAAATCAATTACCGCGTAAAAAGCCGTCGAGTCCCGAGACGCTCGCGTGAGAGAAGACGCTTAAGCGCTGCCGATGGCATCTATTCGATTTATGCCCGTTTCCATTACCAACGTCGATTTAACTCGTGTTCAAGGGCTCAGACACGACGAAAGGAACAGGGAACAAAGAATTAACCCTAGCTCGCCACATTTTCACCCGCTGAACATTTTCGCTTTTCTAGTTTCCATGTGGCGTACTATTTTTTTTTTAAGTATATCGAGCGTCCGCTACAACAAGCGAACATTACGTTTTCTTAAATGGCACTTGCAAAACCTTTTCGAGAACTTTTTCCGGGAAATACCCTATTTTTTATAATAATAATTTTATACCCGAATCATTTTCTTGATCTGACATCATAAACATCTTATCCCCATTCTGTATTTCACTGTGTCTAAGCTGTAAGTGTTTGTTTGAGGAAAGTTCAAATTCGGGTTAAAGTTTGAAATTGTTTTCCATTATCTAAATGGCGTCCGTCGATTCTGCGATAAAATAATCCTTGACAATTTTGCATTAAGGTGACGTTGACGGATATAATGAATGTTCCAATACAAAAGTATTGAAGAATGTCTGCCGCCATCTAGACGCTTAGTAAGAAACAACCTTTAATCGATGTTGGTGGAAACAGGTATTAGCTGCCAAACGTGGTGTCGTGTCGCGATTTTATTCTAGATCTCTCGTACGTAACACGAGGCGTCCTCGTCACAATTTCCGTTTTCTTTTCCTTTTTGTCTCTTTTTTTTTTCGTACATGCTCGCGCGTACTACACCGTTTATATTAATTACCGACTGACCATAGCTCGGAGCGACCGATGCTCTTCCTCGTTTCGCCATAGAATGTAGCTGATCGCACGGAACATGCAATTACCATCGCCGTATATCTTGCGCACGCGAAACGTGCCCTCGTTGCACCTTAGTAGAGCCGTACCTGCGAAGAATCCGTCGCACATGCATTGCGTTGATCGCATGTTCGGTGCTAAATGCGGCCGTGCGCCGTCTCGCCTCTCGGCTGCTTCTCGACCAAGATATATTTTTCATTCGCGCCGGACGAAATCGTAACTTCGGGATAAAGTGATCGTATTTGTCGCGCTACAAGTTTACATAGGGAACGCGAATTGTTCGGCTCTCGTGTTAGAAAAGAATTAGAGAGAGAAAAGAATTAAAATTTCAATCAAATGGTCAGATTTAACGCCGAACGCAACGCGATAATAATTTCACACATTTGCTACTAGTGTCATACATATATGACAATAAAAACTTTTTCTATATATTATCAACCATATTATCAACCCAAGTTTGCTTTGCACAAATGGGTAAGAAAAGAAAGGGTAAGAAAAAAGAAGAAAATATCTAAAATAGTCTGTAGGGAGTCATTCAGAGATTCGAGCAAATTTTATATACATATATATATATATATATATATATACGAATAATCATTCAACATATTCCAATAAGAAATAATGTAAATAATGAATAATGAATAAGGCGAATAAATAAAAATTTATTTAGGTGATACCCAACTTTGGAGTCATTAAAAAATAAATATTGCACTGATAAAAATTATAATTAGTTTCGGTAAATTTTTTAACTACAAAAAGTCAAGAGAACCATTTTTCTAGTAAGTGTTATTATAGCGTCACCGATAATAATATTACATCAATGTTGAGTATTAATTGATTAAAATTTCAGTTGATTAAAATCATCCAACGATTAAGTGTTAATCATTGACTTTGCTTCAATTAATGCACTTATTAACGATTAGTATCATTAATCGATTAAATTATTTATGATTACATATATGAGACTGAATAATCTCGATTGTTAATTAATAGATTATTTTAATTAACTAAGATTTTAATCAATTAATACCCAAACATTACTACTTTACACGTTGCTACTAGTATAAAATATGTTTGGCATCGAAACTAATTATAATTTTCTATTAGTGTGGTAATGAGCGTGTTAATTAGATGCTCATGATTCTCCGTAGACAACCTTTGTCGGGTGTTCGTGAATGTCTGCTTTTACGTTTCCGGCGGATATGCTTCGTTCGACTAGTTTGCCTTGAGATTTGCACGCTGGAGACCCAGTTGATTTGCCATACAGAATTGCTCTTAGCCGTGCGAGTCTTTGGAAAACTGTCAACGATTTTGGAATCCCCGCGATCCAAGAAACGCTCCGCCTCGTCGAGATCGCGTTCCTTCTCATTCTCGAGTAATACGCGACGGCAATCGTGATTTTCTGCAAATCGTGCGGGCTATCACACTTTTTCTATCGAAATCTTCCTTTCACGTTTTCTCATCGAAAATCGAAAGTTTTATATTGCCATTGATATTTTCAGATTTATATTACTGTAAATAGGTGTGTGTTTTCGCTATTGCAGATTTACGTATGTCGATTATTCGTCTATCGAGTAAGTCAAACGTGTGAACAACAATTGTGCGATTTTACCGTCTTCGAGGACGCATGTGCATGAGTGAAAGCACCACCAGCACCACGGGAGGCAAAGAGCTTTCGGCAGCTTCGGCAATGTTGACGTTAAAAGTCCGGTCCGCTAAATTTATCCTCGGAAATTAATGAGCCCCGCGTTACCGAACATTCTGGAATCGTTGACAGCAATTTTTACATTATTACGGTAAGTTAAGTTTCCGCTAAATATTTTCACGGTGTAAATTATGGATTTGCGCGTGCATGGTCTCGTACAATGTGACGTCTGCGACGTGAACATAGTAATTCGTGACATGATGTACGTTTTAACATCATGGTTCATGATACAACCGTCGATATAGTCGGACACGCCTGTGAGTTGGGAAGCGAGATCATGAATCTCCTCTTCTAACGTGAACTCGTAAAAAACGAACGTTTTCAAGTGCTCCCGAATTAAACTATTTTCACTTTTCACGCTAGTTGTCACGCAGAGTCACGCAGAGTTCACGCTAGAGAAAAAGATTTGCGATTCAGCCCGGGATTATGCTCATGTAACTTTTCTACGATATATCTGACATTTTACATCTGTAAATACTGTTCATCTGAAAAACTCAAATCTAACTCTGAATTCAGATCTGGGAACCTCACACGAGATGAATTTCAAATAACGACTACTAATATTGATCTCAGTCCCAAGATCTCTACATACACACACACACACACACACCTGCCCACGACATTCGGTAAAATATCCTATACACATTCGCAGAACATTTATAGTATAGTGTCGCTCGAACATATTAAGAACATATCGTGAATATACAACGGTTTTTTAACAGCTTTTATGAATATAACAATAAATATTCGCGAGAATGAATCCAAAACATTCCCGGAATACTATCTGGTTCGTACGATTGCGCCTGTCACGTGACGCGGTCACGTGCCGGCGTTGCAGGCGCGCAGGTGCGGGCGTAGCAGGGACGGCCGCATGTGCGGCGTTGGCGGCAGTAGCTGGTCGTCCGCCGACCCGCGCGCACTGCACTGAAGGTGGGGGTGATTTCACCTGGCGACGACGAACGGAGCACGCCAGTCGCGCGCGGCGGTCGAAGGGCGGGAGGAACAAGTGTCCGCGCGCTACGGGGTCAGAGGAAGATGGCGGCGGCGCATCGAAACGTGCACGAGTAGTCGAGTGTGATGCGGTGCGCGGCCGTGTTGTTGCGTGCTCCGATCGTCCCGCATGAGATCGCTCGTGAGTGAGCGGAGCGCGGCCAGATGACATGGGAATTTGCAGCAGAAGGCACTTTCTACTGACGATATGCGTTCTTCAACTGGTGAGGCGATGCGCATTGCGGACCGTCGACGGTACACACGCGGATACGCACACACGTTGACCCCGCACCGAGCGCGTGAGCGCGCTGTGCACCTGTACACGCACACGGCGCGTTCCAATCCTGGCCACGTCTGGATTCTTTTCTTCTTTTTTTTTTTTTCATCTCGAGAAAATTCCGCGACACGGTCGTTAGTCACGATGTATCCGATCGCGCCCGCGCACTTTCGGTGGAAAATCCGGGAAATTCGCGCGAAAGCGCCGTTAGACGCGCATACGGCTTCGTCGGGGTGACAAAGGTGACGCGTTAAGGGATTATCTCAGCCCGATCGGCCTGAGTCACGCGCGTCTTACCTCGGGGAAACTTTCCGAGGCTGGCGTATCTCACGCGGATTTTCCGCTGTCGCCCGATGGACGCCGCTGGCGTCGGGATTAGTGCACTCCGAGTGCAATTTTTACACATCGCGACACGCAACGAGCGACTCGCTTTTTCAGCCTACGATCGCGGCCAGGTAATCGCCGCGAGCAGGATGCGGGTTTTTTTTCGAATGCACCGCCGAAGCATCCGCGGATAACTATGGGATTTTTTCACGGTTCGTGGACGATTAATACGTGTGCGTGTTGCGACGAAATATCCGCTTCGTAAAATTCATGTTGGAAATAAATCGGTAACCTTTCGAAAAACGATATCGTGAGCGGTAATAAATATTCGCCTATTCTATTGCGCTGTATTTATCACATCTTACTCTTGCATACGAAATTTGTATATTTCATACATTGTTTTCTGGAATATATCGTATTTAATTTTATATTTGATTTTTTATAATAACGTTTTAATTATTGTCAGTAATATACGGAATAAAGTATTTAACGATGGAAACTAAGAACATGGAACAATGTTTCATGTACACACATATGTACAAAGCGCCGTCATCAAGTGCTATGACTCAGAATGGGTAATTAACCGAGAATATTTAGAACACAGGGCAATTGCCGCGGATTAAGAACGCGCGCCGAAAGGAATCAGCGGAAATTGAGACGCTCGTTGTCACAGGGATCATTATTTTATATTATGTACATTCCGTGTTTGGCGTTTATTACATGTCTGCACTCTGCCGGTTAATTTGCCTCTCCTCTTTCATTTGTAGATTGCCACGATAGAGCGTCAAGTGTTCGACTTCCTGGGGTTCATGTGGGCTCCGATACTGGTCAACTTTTTCAACATTATCTTCGTGATCCTAGGATTTTTCGGGGCCTTTCAATACAGACCTAGATATATCATATCGGTACGTAGGCAGATATGAAAAGCATAAATGATATCAAAGGAAATGAACCATTTCAGGCTCTGTTGATATCCAAATAATTGTTTCTCTTATTCTCTTTTATTTGCGTAGAAAAGGGAATTTCTACTAATTCGTGTTATAAATAAGTAAATCTAATTTTGTTTCAGTATTGTGTATGGAACACATTATGGCTAGGCTGGAACATATTTATAATATGCTTTTACCTCAATGTAGGAATACTGGACAAAGTAAGTGAGCAGTACGATTATATAATATTGATCTACCGCATCCAAATGATATTCCGAACTAATAACGCTGACGTTCGCGCGGCGCGACGTGAGCCATTATCTGAGATATCAGATTATATAAGCGTATTGGATATAATATCGCGATATTATCTTTCAGGATAGCGATATTCTCAACCTTGGTACCGGCAGTTTTTCGTGGTGGCACGTAAATGGACCAGGCTGCAAAGCTGTTTACGATGTTATGGAACCGGAACTTTTTCGACCCGCACGTCCCACTAATGTGACCGATTGCGTGTTGGACTACGAAGTGATAGAAATTTTACACGCCGCGACACAATGCGTTCTAGGTGTAAGTAAAACATTTTATCATCCCGCTAACACGTCTGATATAATGGTAGATTGTATGATGTTTGATTTCGGTTTCGAAAGTTGCGAAGTGCATTCTGTACGTTTCAGTTTATGGCGATCGTCGGTGGAATCTGTCTGAGTAAAGTGTTCCTCGAGGAAGATGATAGCTGTGAGTATACGCGAGTTAGCAATTATATTCTCCAATTAGCTTAATGGTTTAAGGTTTCTGTCGCGAATTACATCGGGTTGTTCGTAAGCTCGGATGCATTTTAGTATTGACGATTTTAAGAGACAGAGATATCTCCCATATTTTCGCTTGTTTATTTCGCCGGTTTTACGGAAACCGAACGAGAGAGCGGAATGTGATTGCTTTAAGAACTGAATGTCGCTCTAAATACTTAAAAGAACTTAAAAGTGATAAATTATGATATTCGTGATTATTCTTTTGCCGTGATATCAAGTACTTAAAATTCAAAAGACGGATAGGATAACCGAGAATATAAAATTTAATGAATCATCATTTTTCTTATACAAGTTGAACAACAATTCAAGGAAAAAGCGAAAGCTGTGATCGCTAGATTCATGTTGATTCTATCACGCGTCTGCTTTGATTAACGTTTATTCTCGATATCGCACAGTAGCGTGCGTATATCCGAAATTCGCACTGAAACTGTTTAGGAACTTACGTTCCGCTTGTAAGAGCACATCCTTTTAACTTCACGTAATAGAGAATAGAGAATCAAGTCGTCATTAATGTTCACTTAAAAATTATGTAAGTACACGGGATTATTTATTATTGCTTGAAAAGAGGGTTATCGGTTACAGTTGATTTCATTGGTGGATTTGATCCTCCATTTTGGTAAGTCCGCTTAATCATGTTTACCAGTTGCACGCCACACACACATATATATATATATATATATATTTGTTCATCTTAGCACGACGAGATAAGTTTTTCTAGTACGTGTCATGCAGCTGCAGAGTGTACCATTAGATTTGAACGTGTATATCGGTGTAAAACTTTCTGCATCTTGGGGTTTGTGACTCGTTATATTTATATTATCGTTATCATCGCTATTGTTCCACACAATACCGCCTCGAGTAGCGTTTCTTTATCTTCCAGCATGGAACGGAATGGTATTGCGTACGTATCGATGTGGTACAAAAGACGAGTTTTTGCCCTCGCACCTTCCAAAGAATCTCACACAAACATGATTATAATGACAAAAGCAGACTGTGCCGCGCAATTAGATCGCGAGTACGACGAACGAGGATATCGGAAGATACGTGACGTTCCTTTCTTTCTTCCTCCGATACGCCGAGGGGGAAGATACGAGAAAGGCGGAGCGGAGTCGCGAATAATTCGGTCGCTCGTCCAACACGATTACTTATCTCACCACTCGCCGTCCGAGCGGATCTCTCACACCTCCCCTCCCTCCCCCTCTCACTCTCTCTCTCTCTATCTCTCTAATGCGATGGATTCTTGAATGATCTTTCAGTTGACTTTGTCGGAGGCGATGACTTTGGGCTGGCGGGCCACACGCCGTTGCATCCTATGTACGTTAGCTACTCGGCTCTTCCGCCACCCGCCTACTCCCAAAAGAATCCCACCCTCAATTACCCGACCGGCACAACTAGCTCGCACCAGTCGACCTGTCGCGAGTCGAGCTTCCCGAAACGCGGCGGCGGTGGCGAAAAGCTGCTGAGCGGCTCGGCGCGCGGCGTGGCTAACGCGCTGAGGAACGGCGACGGCACGGTCCGCAGTAATCGCAGTAACCGCTCGTCGGGTCGCGATTTCCCGGGCGTAGACTACACCACCGACTACTCGAATCCGCTGGACCACCTGCAGCGGCCGGTGTCGCCGGTGTCGTACGACGAGTACGACTCGCTGGACAGCGCGGCTAAGCTGAGATATCAGAAAAACCGGCTGTACTATCCGCACGCGGCCAAGTACAGTCCGGTAGCGCGTATCAAGCTGCGCCCGAACGCGCCGGCGAAGCAGCAGGTCGCCGGCAAGGGCGCCCAGGGCAAGCCGAGGCTCTTCGCCGACCACGTGCGCGATCAGCCCCTGAGGTCGTTTTACTCCGACCCGAGACTGGCTGTCGAGCAGCATCAGTCGACGAGCGAGCACGACAGCTCGTGCCAGTCGAAACGCGACAGCCGACCCTTGTCCCTGCACGCGAGTAACTTCTGACCGACAGACTCCCTCCCCCCCCCCC